GATAATCAATATCTCTAATGCTAATGCAATTGTCTTTCTTTCCATTCTTGTCTGCATTGATAGATTCGTTTTTTTCATCTGTTTTCACTGTGTCATCTTTTGTATTCTCAGAATCGTTCTCTCGATCCGAATACTTTACAATACTGCCTAAAATTTTCCTAGATAATCCCGTCATAGCTCTAGCTGCTGTTTCTTTATCAAACCAAACTACATTGCCTATAATATTACAAATTATATAATGTCAGTAGCAAATGATATGGTGTCAGTTTATTTCAAATAAAATCAAATTTTTAAAGCATACATGATACATCGTTGATCCATTCAATTGACATTGGATCATAATCTTGGAAATATTTGAATACATCTTTGGTGCTCATATCTTCAGTTCCTCTCATGTGAATTACATTCAATCTAATGTTCTTTGCGTTCTCATCATCCGCAATACCCATGCTGCAATCATTACATAAATATATGAAATAGCAGCAAATGCTTTTACTAAATTAATTTACCGAATCAATTAAGTATTTATACCTGCTATACAGATCGTCTTCTAGTGATAATTCCTTGTATTTTTCCGTCAAGCCAAAACGTTTTGCTCGTTCCTCTAACTTCAATCTTTCCTCTTTGCTAAATATATCTATGCCTGATGTGTCTATTGATTTTTCAGAATTACTCTCTAATGTCTGTATCTAAAAGAATTTAGAAGTGTAATTTGAAGCACACCTGAAAATTATATTAACAACATACATATCAATTAAAATCATTCATTTCTGTTACCTGTAATTCTGGCTTTAATATTGCTTCGGATCTCTCTATTTCATTGAAAGGCACCATCTCGACGTCTGAAGGTTCGTCGTACTCGTCCATTGTATAAACACGATACAAATGCGATAAACGCTTAAATATCGTTAGGAAAAATCGATAGGTATCACTAATTTCACAGACAATCCGATCGTTCTGTGAATAACGGCTTCTATCATCAAATGGAGGTAATAAGTTTACAGTTTACAAATATAACTTAACCATAACACGACAAATATATCTACTAGCCAGATGCAGGCAGGCTGGCCTGCTATAGCTACAGCTGGGACGATGATGGACAATGATAAATCACCATGATAACATCAATAAGTCTGTTCTATTTGTTACTGATTGTGAGTTACAAGATTTGCCAAGAAATGACGCGTAACCAATCACCTCTTGGATGTGATAGATACGTTCAGTAAATACGATTGAGTCAGAGAGAAATCTGGAAGCGGCCACACCGTTCTTTTTCGTATAAAGATATTTTTTATACTGGTCACGTGATAGAAATTAATGTTTGAGTCGGCGTCAGCCTGAAAAGACATCTTTAAGGTATGTTTACATGGGAGCATCAACCGTCGAGCGTCAGAGCATACGCAGTGATGTGTAAGAATTTTATTAAAATGCATTGGATCTAATGTATGTACATTAATACAATTTAATAGTGATACAATTTTATCTGTTGCCATTATATATAATATAAATAAATAAAAATTATAAGTATTATATGTTAGGATAGGAGTGTAATTTTGCGTTAAGGAACTGGAAGATATTCAGAATCGTGCGCAATAAGTTTCTGCGCATATGTTCGACGCTTGATGCTTTCATGTACTGATCTTGGCTGTGTTCCAAAATTGACTGCTAGTACTGAAAATCTATAATGTACGTAACGTAAATTGTAGCATTTTCAGTGCTGGCAGTAAATTTGGGCCCTTCTTTACGCAAGTTTACATCACATAGAAGCTGCGATCAATTTGGACGCTTTCAGCGCTTTTCAGTATTTCTATTCTTATTTTACGTCTAATGAACAATAAAGACAGAATAATGATTACAAGCTCTTAAAGCGCGTGAGTGTCCAAATCGACCGCAGCCTGGAAATCAGTTTTAGTAATTTATAAGTTCTAATCTGTTCTTTTTTGGTCTCTAATTAGATTGACAATTAAATATATTAACAAAATACTATTAATAGCATGGTGAAAGAAGACAGGTGAAACAACTTGAGCGATGTTCAGTAGCTGATTTGATTATAGCGATCTCAGAATCTCTCAGTTTTGAGAACGAACAAAGCAATAGGACAAAATTATAACGTATTCGGGTTTGTACCAACCAGGACTTCGATTCTTTCCCTCGGAAATTTTCACAAACTGAGAAATGACAATTTTTCTACATTAATGCTCATAGTCCGCGCGCGATTAACGACACGACTAAACCTTACAACCGCTTACAACAAAATTTGACGTAAAAACGAAATAACCTGAAAGAAAAAAGTAACCGAGAGAAAGAATCGAAGGCTTTGGGTGTACATATACACACATGCATACAAAGAATTTTCACTTTTTACATTTCCGTCCTAGAGAAAAAGTGGGAGGATCCCGTTTGCCTACAATCCTGATTGCACACCACTCATATCAGCTGATGTCTAGTAATTTTTTACTACTTTACCAATGAGAATATTTTATTTTTAAATTAGTCAATTAGCAACGCATGTGTGCAATATGCACTGTGTGCAATCGGAGCCTTCCCGACATCAACCAATAAGTATTCAGACAGCACAAAATACTAATAGATAACGAAAAGAGATTTTTTAAGTTGTTTTTTCAACAAAGCGAAAAGGTGTCTAAAAGACGACGAAAGACATTGTTTTTAGATTATATTTTTAGCAAGACTAAAAGATGTCTATAAGACATCTTTCAGTTTTGTCGGAAAGACAACTTAAAAAAGCCATCTTTTCGTGGTCAGCCATCTTTCTATGGTTGTCATTTTCGCGAAGCAAAAGGTCGACTAAAAGATATCTTTTCATATTGCCGAAAAGATAACATGAAATGTATCGATATCTTTCCGTTATTTTGATACTTTTTATCTCATTCGCGAGCAATA